TTTTATTCGTTTGTTAATCACTGTTATCGAACATTGTGATTTGTGACTGTGTTAGTTGTAGCTTGATGATTATTGTGTTGTGTGGCAGAATACTGAAGTACTCCGAAAGATGGGAAAGTAGACGGGGATTAGCTCAAAATGTGCTATACCAGCAGACAGTAGGGATGCTTTGCCGATAGCGAAACGGGCACCGATTATGGCTCAAGTGGTTATTGGGACCCCTGGCACGATTAATAAGTGGATGACTTTTAAGAAACTTGGGGTGACAAGTTTGAAGATTCTTGTTTTTGATGAGGCTGATCAAATGCTTGCTGAGGTAATTCTATCGTGATAATGAAATGTTGTTTATTTAGAATTTGAGGTTTCATTGTCCTTGGACTAGGCAAGCACATAGCCTTATCATTCTCCCTGAGCTTATTATTGTTACAATCTTTTGGGGAGTTGGCAACACCCTTGTTTTTTAATAGAATAAGTTACAATTAAATGGTAAGTTGTGACTCTCCTCCTTTTTTAATGATGGATAAAGAGGAAGAGTGCACTAGTAGACCGCTTGTTTTAACTCTTGATAATATATATCTTTTTCTAGTTAGTAATTACTCTCTAGTAAGTATTCTAGAGATCCTAGGACCTAGTTTTAGGTTCAGGGAATTGTTATGGTTTACTGAATTAGTATTGTGATTTTCTTTTCTTTTTTAAAGCAGAGGTATTCGCAGTTCGGTTTCTAAATATGTTGTGCCCTAACTTGCTTAATTACTGTAAACTTTGCAGGATGGATTTAAAGATGATTCCCTGAGGATAATGAAAAGAATAGAAAAATTCAATTCTAACTGTCAGGTTTGTTGAACTCTTTCTTGCGTAGTGTGCTTGTGTGCATGGCATTTTCATCCATCCAAGAAATTATGGCATAGACTTAGTCTACAAGTTGCATAGCCTAAGCTAAGTACACACTCACACATTGTCATTTTACATTAAATAACTACATGATATATGTGTCAATCTACTACTTTTAAAATGATAATGTATTAGTTTATGTTTTGGTTTTATTTATATGACCTGTGTAGATCAAATCTATGCAAGAATTTATCAATCCATAGGGACAACACATCCATGTATGCAAATACATGTTGTTTAAATTACCGTCACCCATCCTTCAACCTGTTCGGGTAGAACACCTGCCAATTCATGGAAGGTCATGCTCTCCCTGAGCCCTTGTGCAACTTGTGAAGTATATTTAAAAGAGTAAAGTGATTCATTCATCTTATAAGAACAGAAATAAGTATGAGGAATTTTTTACGTAGTACATCATGCTCAATCAAATAATATTGCATAGATATGAAGATTGAATGTTAATTTGATTGATGCTAATGGTTTGCTATAATTTAATTTGAACCTATGTAGAAGGGAATTATAATTGTTCCTTGTTATTTTTGTGCACCATAACCATTGCGTCTGTACTTAAATGAACATTTTACCAAGATTGGTTGCTTTGTATGTGATTCAAATGTTGTGTGTGCTTGTATGTGATGTAGTTGTTTTTTTAGTTTCTTTTCTTATCTAAGAAGATTTTGATTGACTTGTGTATGTCTAGGTTCTTTTGTTTTCTGCTACATTCAATGACATTGTCAAGAATTTTGTTTCGAGGACAGTTAAGCAGGATTATAATACACTTTTTGTGAAGGAACTATCTTTAGATGTCGTAAAGCAATATAAAGTTCATTATCCTGATGAACTCTCTAAGATTGAAATGAAAAAAGATTACATACTCGAAATAGGAGAGAATCTGGGGCAAACTATAATATTTGTGCGCACAAGAAATAGTGCAAAAATGTTACATAAATCACTTGTTGTCGCTCCTGTTGTCGCTCCCGTCGCCCCAAGTAAGGGAGTCGACAAGGGAAAAAGGAAAATGGTGAACATTGTTAAAAGGAAGGTCCGGTCTGCAGCGGACATTCCTGCCGAGGAGCTTGCTAGGAGGACTGGCGGCCCGGTTATTAAGGATGTGCAGGAGAATGCCCAGAGTTTGGCGGTCAACCCTTCTGCACCTGAAGTTATTCCTCCTAAACCAACGGCTTCTGGAAAGAAGAGGGTTGCTAGCGAGGATTTAAGCTCGCCTAAAGGAGCTAAAACGGTTAGGGTGGAGCCGACTGAGTCTGTTCAATCAGGTGGTAGTCTCTCGTTTGCCATGGAGAGTTTCTCGGACGCCCCTGGCGGTGATGACATGATGGTGGTCAATACTCCGGACAGGGCGGGGGTACCTGTCATGGCGACTGTCGAAGGAACTTCAACGTCTGCGGCTGTTTCGTTAGTGCAGATCCTGAAGCTATCCGAGAGGGATCTGAACTCTAGTTTCCCTAATCCTGATTTAAACGTGTTGGTACCACAGCAAATTAATCGCCAAGACATCATTGACTGTGTACAGGTAATGATCGGTCAGATTATGGGAGCCCGGGAGGCTACTCTTGCTGTTGACAGCCGTTGTTCTACCCAGCATGATGACTTGGTACAGAAAGAGCGCAAGATTGAGTCCTTAACGGCCGAGATCGGGCGGTTGAGCTTAAGAAAACATAGAGGTTAGTATAAGATTGTAAAAAAGACATCATATCTGTATTTCTCACTAAAAAATCTAATAAAATTTACATTAATAGAAAATTAACTAAAATCGTCATATATTTTGATATCACAAGATTTTTTTTTCTTTATTTAAAATACTTGTTGAATACCACCGGATTTGACTACACTCTAAAATAATCTTTTAAATTCTTAACCAAATATTAAGTGATTTTTTTCAATCCTTCAAAATCATAATTAAATATTAGTAGATTTTTTTTGCATTGGAATTACGAAATCCTTTAAAATTTCAATCCATAGAAAATCTTTCCAAATTAGCACCCTCTCTAATAAATATTAGTAGATTTTTTCTGGGTTCACTACTGATATCAATCATTGTATAAACTGCTTGACCTCCACTATATTATTTAAACTTTGCGATTAATACCTTAGGTTCAATTTTTAAGAAAATTAAGAATTAATTTATTCTTGTTCTTCATCTACCAGCATTCGAACCAGGGACATTGTAGTGTTGACTTCCAACAACAACCATATCAACCACGAATGCTGAGGAGCCTTGCTTGAGGAGGTCAAGCACTTAACTAGGGGTGACATTTTTCAACATGGCCCGCTGACACGACATGAACACGATATGAAACATTTGTGTTTGGGTTAACTCATTTATAAATTTGTGTTGCAAAAGCTGTGTTAACCCAGGAACTCAAAATTGATCCGCATGAATATTCTTATAGATTATTCATGTCATGTTGTATTTTAAATAGATTATTCGTGTCTTATTGTGTCATGTCAACCCTTATAATAAGTAATATATATTGGGATTCATAGGTTATTTGTGTCATGTCATATTGAGTTAACCCATAAAATAAGCTTTGTGTCGAAAATTTTAACCCAATTTTAAAATCATATCGTATTTATGTTTGATATATTCATATTCGTGTCAAATTCATTTCTTGTCTACCCAAATTGTGACCTGTAACATCCCGTTGTACACCGGTATTGTTAACATTAATTATGATATTAAGCGCAGTTACAATCACAGCAATTCATTTATAAAAATGCGAATAAACTTTTTCCGATTATTACGCGAGCATTTAAAACATAAAATGGCGTAATAATTAAAAGCTGTGACCGTAACTGTAAACTCTTGCGGAAGACTTATTTAAACTATCTTTATAACTTACATTACTTATTATATATTACTAAGGGGTTCCCATAAACCCACTTAGCCAATTTCCAAACTTTACGTTTTTACCTATTCAGACATGTTTCACTCTTAATTTTTTTTGCGACCACACCGCTCGCAACCAAACTCTCTTCTCAGATTATATCTTTGTCTTACTTAATTCCCTTTTCAACAAGCTATCATACGCTCAATTCGGAGCTCATTAGCTCCGGTTATCGCCGTTTGAAGTTGGATAAGCAATTAGCCAAACAACCCCAAAAACAGCTCCAAACCACTCACATTACTCGAATTACTGCATTCAATCCATTCAACCATTTGCTCTCAAATTTTTATCCTACAAACTAGACATCTCAAACTTCATTTGATATATTATACGCTTAATTTGACTGAGAAACGAAGCAGGAATTAATTTCCCAAATCCAGTTCAGAATCTGCCTCAGGTGCAGGGGCACATGAGCAGTCCGAGTTTCTCTATTTGTTTCAGGCCGAAGATCAACCCAGAATTTCCTCAAATTTTGACACAAGGTATAGGACATCTCAAACTTCCAAATGACGTATGACACGTCCCTATTGGACCTCTAGGGAGGGAGATATGCCTTCCCGAAGTTCGCCTAAAATCTGCCAATTCTACAGAAATTTCGCCAGAGTTTCCTTTGTTTTTCCAATAATCCCAAAATTGTAAACGATCATTTAAACCTCAAATGTACCTAATAAACACATGATAATACAATAATAATCCAATGGGTGGTACACACAAGGACCAACAACGCCTTGGGGCACTTACAACCCAATCCAGTTTATAGTCATTAGGCATATAATCCATATTAATCATCCTTAAGTAGTTGCAATCACTAACACCTTTTTCATGCACATTTTCATCATACATGTAATCATACCCTAAAATAGGCCTAAGGCCCTTCCATCATCATTAGTCATGCATCAAATATGATTACAATATTGCTTTACAATTTACAACTTGAAACTTAAACTTCAACTTACATTCTTCAAATATTACAACTTAAATTCAAATGACAACATAACCAAATACATAACTACTAGACTTAGGCAAAATGACATGAACAAATATGCTAATGAAGCTCATACAACATACATATGAGATGTTCATGCCCTAAGTCTAGCCTAGGCCACACGGTCAACAAAAAAACAAAACATGAAGCACTCCAATGCTCACTCTACGGGCCTCTTGCCCGCTGCTCCTGCTCCACTGCTACCTCCTGAAATAAACGCCCCGAGACGGGGTGAGATATACGAATATATCTCAGTAACCAAGAGGTTCTGGAGAAAACTCCACCCAATGGTTCACTTCGATGCATATCAATAGAATAAAACAACCACTTTGAAAACGGGATATAGCAAGGGATTTAGAGAAATGGGGAATATAAAGAAACAAACTACGACGATACGGGATGGTAACCCCAATTCCACGTACGCCCTGGGCATATATAAGCCTATGGGTATCATCCATGGTGCGTTCAAAGAAACCACATCCATGATGCCCAAACCATCCAAAACGCCAAAGACATTCCTAGTGTGCTCCTACCCGGATCACACACCATGACACGCAGTCAACTGGAACTCCCTCCTGGAGACCTATCCAGCGGAAGTCCGAAAATGCCCGAAGGCTAATAAAACTGTCTACTGGCCAGAGACTCGGTACCGCAGTACCCATAGCAATAATGCATGCATGCTCATGTGTTCTATACTATTCATACACACTTCCTACTGTTGCCATCAACTGGCAAGGTGGAACAGAAAAGAGGAACAAGCCCCAGTACCAAGAGGTTACCTTAAGTAATTTCCTCACTAGCTCCGCAACAGCTTATCCCACAACTTGGTACACAGCGAAATGCCTACATAGAGGACATTCCCAATCTCTTATAATTCAAACAATACATGCTAATTTATAATTATACATGCCTTGAACTAAATACTTACCTCAATCCACTTGGTCCAAGACCAAGGGTAACTCCCAGATTCACGTTTCGGGATTCAAGTCAACGTACGGCAACCTATACAATTACGTACATCCATCAGTAGGCGTCAAATAGCATCAAAATGCAAAATCACAAAATTCCTCCCCATCCTCCCATGATGGTTCGGCCAATGAAGTGTAAATTCGAGATTTATTTTTCTAAATTTTGTTTCTCACTTGTTACGTCTCATTAGGTTGTCAATAGGCCAATTCAAGTGCCGGTTCGTCATTTTCGCGTCGGATTACATCAGAACGCAAAAACCGCAAAATTTCTCCCTTCCTCCTTGAAGGTTCGGCCAAGCATTTGTTAATTGGGGATTTATTTTTTCTAAATTTTCTTTCTCATTTTAGTACCCATCCTTGGGTTGCCATAAGGCCATTTCAACTGTCGTTTCGCCGTTTTACGACATCTACGCATTGTATTGCGAAATATTTCACTCTAGGTTCTTTATGTCAACTAAACCACTTATTATTTTTCCATTGATTCTAACACTTGCCAACCACCACACAACCCATCTAGTCATCATATAATCACACAACACATCATTCAAATTATTTTTCAACATCAATTCCTCCATTTTCACATCATAACCAATTTACACAATTTCTCACATTCAAGGTTTTCCATCAATTCTTACAACTCCACACCTCAACCAATTACATGATATCATCATTCAATCATACAACAACTCATTATTAACCTCACAACACATTTTTCCAAAATCACATGTCATGACCACCAAAATTCTTCTAAGTTAAAATTCGACATTTTTCACCTAAAATTTTCATTGCAATTCTAGCTTTAATACATCATTCTAAGGCATTATCATCTAATACACATTTTCTAATTGAGCTCTCTAACACAACATATCATCAATCAAAGCTTTAGGTCACAAAATCAAATCATCACCATCAACCGTTTAAAATGCAAGAACACTCACCCAAACGGAAGGTATAAGACTCCTCCTAAGCATACTCCACCATTGGAGCAATTAAAAGCTCCAAGAACACCAAATCTCCCTTCAAAACCGCGGCTGTAATAGGCCAAGATCTCCTCACACACGCGATTTCAAGGTTCAAGAGTGGTACCAATGTGTTTAGGAGGTGTTTTCCAACAAGTTTCAAGACAAAAATCGTTGGATTTGGTTGAGATTTGAGTGAGTTATGATCCAAAGAAAAATTTGCATAAAGAATGGGGGGAAGGGGGCTGCTGTCGCGGGGAGGAAGAGAGGGAGGAGAGAGAAAGTGTGAAGAAAAGGTGAGTTTGACTCACTTAAGTCACAGGCGGGTCCCACACGCGTTTTAACTTTAATCAATCATCGAATTTCAACCACAAATTCATGACCTACGTATTTTTCTTGTTCATGTCATATTTTTGTTTCCTAAAAATACTGATAAAATTTTCACGCTTATCGGTACAATTATACCGCAGTATTTTTACACCGGAAAATCACTATTCATCAACACGGACACGGGACACGGGACACGACACGATACGACACGCCGACACGTTAATTCTAAAAAATGTCATATTTGGACACGTTGGGACACGTTTTGATATTAAATAAAATTTTTAATATATATAATATAAGAGTCCATAATAAGTCATACAACCAATCAAATATTTAAATTTCATAACTAAATCATAAATATTTAAATTTCAATAACAAATAACAAATTCAGCTTCAAAAAAGAAAACAAAAATGTAAATGTTAATTAATTTCAACTCTTAAGAACACGCAAGAGGACGACAATGGTCCAGTAAAGTCAGTCTAACTGAGGTTGGTGTTTTGTTTCTTCTTATCCATACCCAGCTTAAAGATTTACTTTG